TATGCATCAATGTACCTACCTAAGACCTGAACTTCACATAATTCCAGAATAGGATAATCACTATACCAGTCGTGTCGTTTTGGGCTCTCTCTGTTATTGTAAACAGTCACATACCGAGCTACGTATGGACACAGGTGAGTCGGGTTTAAGTCTACTTCTTCCTTCTTACTACTGTTATCCTGATAACATAGAATGTCTTGTATGTTGTCGGTAGAGTTGGACACGGAGAGCGAGTATCCACCAAATCTTGGTCTAGAATTGTCTAAAATATACGAATTTTATGATATTAAACTACTTGAAATGCTTTTGCATTCATTGAGGTGATGAACAATTTAGATCAAAAGCCCAAAGAATAATGTCCTGTTTAAGTTGAAGATATACGTAAGCCCTTAGTATTTGTATTGTCTAGAAATGTAGTTTATAGTTATTTATAGTTAGATAGTGATGTAAATCAAACAAGTTGTAACAATGCCCACTCAGAAATATTAAAAACGAGTCACATTCGGAGTTAAATATGGAATCTACCACGTTCTACACGAACTCCCTGACTAATACGCTTTATGGCTTGTCAATGTGTACAGATGCGTTGCAATATTTTATAATCCTAATATTACGAATTATGAACATAATATTTGCACGAAGTAAAAATTGCTACACTTTCCGTTACTTAGTGATTTTCAGAACTGATAAAAATACAAGGTTGTGGTCGGTATTTTGTTTCCCGAATAGCATTCAAAATTAATTCAAAACGGTAATAATTTCAATATAAACACATTACCTAGCAAGAACAGTTTTTATAATTAAATGATGATACAAAAACAACTTACTTCTGTAGTATATCGTGATGTATTGTATTGTTCTTCTCTGTCCTAAATCCACACGCCACCAGGCTTGTTTGTGATTCTTGTCAGCTGTATGAGCACAACAATGAGGCGGTGTTCCTGATATCGTTTGATTGATGCAATTGTCTATTGCTTTATCAGCTGTCCATCTATCGTCTTGATTTGCCGATTGTTTTGCAGTTCCCGCCAAAGCGACATTTTCTGAAATGATGAAAAAGGTAAAATGTTACAGTGATATATGCTATGACTGCATCATTAATTGTCTTTCGGGAGTTCCAATGTCGTGTGGTATATTGAGTGACTTTGGGTGTTCTTCGCATGCGTTAACCCAATCCATTGGGCAATGAAGAATACAGTTCAAACATTTAGGAGTAACGGATTATTTTATGGGCGAGGTGTGGTTAACATAATTCACCCCAAAGCGCGAAGCAATATATGTATTTAGGGGTCAAACACTATAATAAGTCCTCTAGAAGTTATGGTTGTTGTCTCTAAAATATTGTAGAGCGTTATTTAACTAATAATTTTATTTTGGTATTGTCACGATATTATTTGTCCTTGTTAAATCTCTACATTTTGTTCTGCTATACCAGGCACTGTGCCTGTGACGGGGTGACATCTGATAGCTCTAGATTCTCCATATAGGGCTCATATTGCTTAAGTTGTTTTGCAGAATGTTGGGTTTGGTTGATTTAATTAAAAGACGGCTTGGCACATTGCCGTCGGGCGCCATCTCCTTTTATACAGCTGTATCATATAATAGAAGAACAATTACCAATATCAAAAATAGCATATTTGCTTCGGCGACTATAGATCTTTACTTATAGTTTATGGTGTAAGAGTATCAGTTACAAATGTACGTTGTAGTAATTCAGATATAATTCCTCTGAAAGTCTACAATAATACATACAATGCATATACAATTGCATAAGGTCAACAAAATGAAATAATCATAATAAAAAAACCGTTAAGGCATACTTTTGAAAGACATTTCTAAATAAACTACAGAGCGTCTACATTTCAATTAATGTGAATATACCACAAAAACGTCATTCTTATAGAAATCATTGAGCTTTCAAAATTCCTTTGCCTTTTGTGAATAGCTTAATGCTTACTATATTGTCTTGACAATTTAGCTAGTGCGATTTATCCTTTCCACTTTCGCTCCATTTGATTTAGATGTTACCTTAGGTATGAATATAACACATGGTGAAGTATGTGATTGCGAAACAATTAAAAATGCACCCGTATGTCCAAAAAAATAATTACACGGCATTTAACAGCTGTTTCGTCCTTCTTTGACTCATCGATGGTACTAGGGGCACAACTGTTAAAAAATAAGTCTAAACTATTGTTGAAACAGAAAGGAAATTATGTAAAAAAAACCACTTAAATTCTATAAATTAAAAAATATGGAAGTATTGCTTATTTGAAACTGAATAATTAGTTAATGTTGTACATCAAGAACCGTGTCATTAGAGGAGTACCTGTAGAAAACCCCACGTGGTCGGGTATTTAAAAAGCACCGGGTCAAAGGGGTTAACATGAATTATAATATTCCTCACTATACATGTAGCGTAACAACAACTATCAATGAAATAATAAATAAGAGAGCGTATACATGGAAAGTATAACAAAGGTAACAGGACATCCGCGGGGAAAGCCTGTCAGTGTCGCTAGAAGAATAGTAATAGTTACTTTGGTTTCCCCTAAAACCACCGACTTATGTCCATCGGTAATCTTAGGGAATCTTCTACTATGTCAGTTTACAGATACAAGTCCGTCAGATGTGAATGAGTATCCAAGTCATAAACCAATCAGCACCTTGTCTAAAATTAACTGATATTTATTTAATATGAACAAAATACATGTAAAAGAAAAGCATATAATATGAAAGGGAAAAGGTCTTACGCTCACTCTAACGTTCCCTTATGTTGTTGTACTGCTATAGTTGATCGCCTAGACAACCGTTATCGCAGCCTATATAAAGAGGGTAAACTTTCCCGATATTTGACGGCTATCTGGCCATGCAAGGAGTTGTGTTTTGCCCGTACATCCTATTTCATACTCCAAACCTTCTGGGCCCGTATTCATGAAACTGTTCTCATACACAAGCATAGATTTTACGCTCAAACTGCTTTTGTTGTTAGGCAACAAAAAGTCAAGTGTGAGCATTGGAAACATTATTTCAATCTAAGACCCTTCAAATGTTTTCAATATTGACAAAATAAGTTTTTTTTCGATATTTATAACTTGAATAAGAAATGAGGTCTGAGCACGAAATCCAAGCTTGAGCATGAGCACGGTTTCATAAATACGGGCCCTGGCCCTATGTTATTTGTAATGGTGTTTTTTTTCTGATTGACCAAATCTACTGCATATGGGCAGTGAGTTCGGAACGTCTTCCGGAGATTCACCAAAATCAGGTCGTCTCGAAAGTTAACACCCACGTAAACAAATAAATGCTCCAGTAAAGGCTGCTTCTCGACGAGAGGCATATGCCGAGCGAATACCGTTCCCATTTTGGTTTTTTAGAAAGTTTTGTTAAAGGAATACACAGGGACAACAGTGAAAGTACAACAGTACTTAGGATAGTGAATCACTTTTCCACAACTATAAGAGCAATGAAATATACAATACGATAATCGAACATACATTGACAATAACGTACTATATATATGCAGTTGTAGATAGCACTACGTTATACGATGTGCAGTGTGTGCAAAATGTGCGTACCTTGTGCAAACTGTGCGATTAAAGCTGGAGCACATTTATACTCACAAAGATCGAACGGTGTGCAATGGTAAGTGCGGTTGATGTAAATAACGGAATGACTTCAACAATTAAAACAAAAACAAGTTCATTTTAAAGTTACCATATTGAAGCTTTATATGTAGGTTATCCATAAATCTGCATTGAGTTCCAAAATTGGGTTTAAATGATCGCTGATAAAGAATATAAATACACACATCGGCACAGTCCTATAAAAACACAGGTAAACAAAATCGCCTAGTACACGTACCTAGGAGGTATCTCGTCTAACGGGGCAAAACTATAGATAGACACTTACGGAATTAACAAACAAATACGGATACAGTTTACTACCAAGATGATATCTACATCGGACACATACCAAGCAAACCTTACGGTCACTCTTCCAAATGTTGTTGACATGTTCTGTTACCTGTGTAAGCCATTATTGACAGTCGTACATTTTTGATACTGTATATAATTAATACGTAATACACGTACTAACCTTAGACATAATGCAAAATATACCAACCAGAAATTACACAACTACAATGTACCTTATTTCACATTTAGATTTTTTTTTTCATTTTGTAAAATAGATCAAATTATTGTACAACATGTGCACATTTGTACGGACATAAACGGGCGAACGAATGTTAGATTACACGATTGCGTGCATAAAGTGCGGACGATGTGTGCATGATGTAGTTACGATCTTGTTTGTGCGTTGTACGGTCACACAAATGAACACAATTTCCTTACGTAACAATAATGATAAACATACAAACATGGTCAAATGTATTTGTAATTTTGCAATGTATGTTATGCCTATAGTTAAGACAATGATGAAGTAACGTAAGGATTTTCTGGAAAATGTATTTCGTTTAATGATAAATCTTAATAAAAGTGTCTTACTACCGTCTGTCGTCTATTCCGTTTGCGTCCTGTTCTGAATAAAACAGTATGTTAATTGGTAAGAAACGGGACAAACGGTAAAATATGCTTTAAATATGAATATGAAAATCAAAGAAAAAAATAATGGAAGCTCCGATGAGGGGTGTTACCCTAAAAACCATAAATAAAGTAGGTGATATATTGGAGGTTTATCTCTACAGACAATCCTAATACTTAGGTCTTAAGGAATAGAACATGGACATGTAAACTATATACTCATAAGAGCTGGTGTGTTATTACGGGGATATGTAAACTATATACTCATAAGAGTTGGTGTGTTATTACAGTATAGTTCATATTGTTAAATCCCGGTTGTAAAATTAAAGCTTCCTGACGTTATTTGCTTCATCTGTTACTCTGAGAGAATTATACATGCTGCCTATTGTTGGAATAAAATCAAATCTCTAAATTTATACGAAAAGCTTTTTAAAACTCTGAGTGTCCTTACAATTCATTGAGTTGTTATGATACCATAAGTTTAAAAAGGAAAATGATGATAGAAACGATATATTTTTTATAACACATTTGTATCAATATAACGTAGCGGGTTCTACAATAATTATTCTAAATTAGAGACGACATACACGTCAAATAACGTTGTCAGCAATCCTGAACAGGTCGGTAAATAGACTTATTCTAAAATGACGCTACAGGCAATGTTTACACAATCGGATTGATTTGAAAAAAGAATCCAGCAACAATTACGAAACTTAAGAAACCTTTACACAATGAAAAATAATCCGTAACAATCATGAAATTGCATTATGCTACATTCATCATATGGAACATATTAAAATTATTTTTGGTATCGTTTCGGAGGAAACCCGAAAATGGTCCTTGAAACATTACGACAACAAACGATTCATCTTGTGTCACAGTGTTGTATTACTCACTTATCATTGAACTGCCGTTCTTTTATATCCAGTCGAAAATTATACACCGACACATTTCCCCACGTCAGGAAAGGCAATACTCTATTTGTCATGTTAAATTAGCTGTAGTTGTTTGATCGAACAACGTAACACGATGTGCGGTGTGCACACGATGTGTGCACAGTAAATACACGATGTGTGCACGGTACATGCACGATGTGCGCATCTTGTTTGGACGATAAAAATATTGCCAATTATTGCTTGCGCACATTTATGAGCACGATGGACAAACGTTGTGCAATAACAATCGTCGTTGGTGTAAATTTAGGACCGACTTAAATAAATAAAAATAAAAAATCTTAATTTAACGTCATGTGCATTGTAACCAACAAACACAACCTTTGTGGAGATTTTAGCACGACGCCGCTAAGGGAACAAATGTTGTTTTCGTGGTGTAGGAAAACCCACGGAGGGAAACCACCGTGCCATCGGAGGGATAACAACTTACCCAGTCAGACATCACTCTCTTTTCCGCCACCGCTGGTGATCGAACCAAAATTCTGGGGAGAGTGAGTGGTCTGAAGCTCACGCTTGATTGCACACAGTAGTAATGACTGTGCGCGT